TGTTAGTCGGAAAGAAGTTGACCAAGCACATTTATACATATTGAACAACACTGATGAAGTAATCCCTTACATATCACAACACATAATTGAAATAAAGGTAACACATCCACGAATGAATGAAAAATGGGTATTGAATGAACATAACAAAAGTTTCCTTTCTTGGTTTAAAAAAAGGGTATATGTTGAGATTAATGTTTCAAAAACACTTTTGAGACTTGCTCATGGGCCTAATAGTGATGTCATTACATTTGGTGGGTATGACATTAATATTTATTGTTTCTACTCAAAAATAGAAGATGATAAAGGTAGAGTACAAAATAGTGGGGTCACAATTCAAGCTGAATCTATGCATTTTTCTAGTTCTAAAGACAAAAATCCTATCACAGCTTCTATGAGTTATTTTGGGGTCATACAAGAGATATGGGAAATTGATTATGTTACTTTTAGGGTGTCTGTCTTCAAGTGTAAATGGGTTGAAGGGAATACTGGTGTGCGAACAGATGACCTAGGATTTACTTTGGTTGATTTGAGTAAAGTTGGGTATAAGGATGAACCTTTTATTTTGGCATATCAAGCGAGACAAATATTTTATGTCAAGGATCCATGTAATGAGAGATGGTCAATTGTCCTTGAAGGAAGAAGCATGCACTGAATTCATGAAGATGAGTCTCTAGATATACATGAAACACCTTCATTTTCACGTAGACCATTTGATGACATAGTTGACAATGAAGTTGATGACATACATGCAATTCGAAGTGATCATGATGAAGGGATATGGGAAAACATACCAACATAATAGGTGTTTATCTTCACATTTTCTAGTTCTTTTTATTCAAACTTATAAAGTATGTTGACTTCATATTGTTTTGTTTTTCAGGATATGTCTGATTCCACATCCGGTACCTGGTAGTGGTAGTGGCGGTGAGCGTGAGCTGAAGTGGAGGTAAAGGTAGATTTGTCACTCTGCTAAAGGGGTTGACAGCAAGGAGGGTAGCTAGAGAGAAAACTCAAGTTGAAGTTGATCCACGTTCTTGTAAGGCATCTGGCCCAAATGCTGCTAAGTTTAAAAGCTATTTGGGACTACTAGCTCGATACCATGTTCTGATTACTACTCCATCTTGGGATGATGTAGAGGAAACCGAGAAGAACCTCATGTGGCAGGATGTTCAGGTATTTCTATATTTGTTGAATACTTTATACATCATTATTAATTGAATTTAACATTTATTGGTCATTTCACAGCAAAATTTTGATGTTCCTAACACTGAGGTGATGAGGAAGAAGATTTTATCCTCCATTGCCATTAGATGGAGGGACTTTAAGACTTTCTTGACACGGGAGTATGTATTTGGAAAGTTTCAAGATGAATCTCCCTGTCTAAAGTATTAAATTAGTGAGGAGGATTGGTTACAGTTTTGTGTCAACCGAATGGACCCCTCTTGGCAGGATAAAAGACGTGTTGCCCAACAACGTCGAGGTTGAATGATGCACCCCATGTATTGTCACGAGGAGGGTATGCATTATTGGAGCAACGTCTCATGAAAGCCGAGAGAAGAGTCAGCGAGGAGTTGAGTCTCATCGACCTTGCATCTCCACCCCTCACTATGAGATGTGGAAGGCAGCTCGGACAAAATCTGATGGACAAATGACTTCTGAGTCTGCACGAATCATTGCTCAGAAAATCGTAAGTTATAATGTCAATTTGAATTGATTCTAATGTGAAAGTTAGTGTATGACTTAATTATTGTTAATGTGTTGTAAGATGATTTAGTTTAGCAAAGCACCCAAGGATCATTTATTCCTCATGGTCGACAAGATATATTGGCGACAGCCATAGGAAAACCAGATTACTCAGGACGTGTGCGTGGTGCTGGTGGATCCTGGGGCCTTCGTGATTACTTTGGTCCAACATCACGAAGGACCACTACTGACTCTTGCAGCCAGGAGGCCTTGCATAAAATGGAGATGCAGTTTGAAGAAAAGTTAAATCAAATAAGGCAGTCCTTGCAGCAAGAGTTTGATGAGAAAATTGAATCTCTCGCCCGCTCTCAGCAACAGACTCAAGGAACACCTCAAACAATTGAACATGATGTTGTTCGAGTCAGCACTAAAGGGAGTTGTGCTGCTACTGCTGCTGATCCTTCAGGAGAATATACTCAGACTGATGCATCACACCAGTGTGAGTTATATGTTGAAGATGACCCCCCGCGTCTAGTGGCTATTGGTCGAGTTTTTGAGGGTGGTTTAACCATCCATGGTGTCCCTCTACAGGCAGACTGGACACGAGTAGTAGTTGATGAAGTTCATGATGCTAATGCTCCAGTGCCTTTTCCTAATGAAGAGATTCAATTAGTGGGGCAGGCAAGCGGGACATTCTTGGCTTGGCCAAGACGTTTGGTTATGCCACTATCAGCATAGACCAAGGTATATATATATATATATATATATATATATATATATATATATATATTGTCTATTTTCTCTTTTCTAGTATTATAATTATATAAATGTTTAATTAATTGTTATCATTTGTTTAGGAGGACTTGCGTCGTGCTAAGCATAAAAAACAACCTATTATTGATGAGGATTTGACGTAATGTGATGATGATCTCATCTCTATGTTGTTGACCATATTACCACGGCTGAGGAAGAGACCGTGTCAGATACAATGGGATGTTAAAGTGTTTGGAATTGACAATTCCAGTGTTTCATTATACATTTCCTTGCCTGATGCTTTAGAAATTGCTGGGGGAAATTGCATGTTAAACATTTCCATCATACAATTGTGGGCAATGTAAGTCATTCTCATTTATGTTTCTAAGATTATAATAATTTTATTCAACTTATAATTAATTGTTTTAGGTACATTGACAAATTGAGTGTGGAACAAGAAAAATCCGAAGTATACTGATTTATTGAGCCTCAATCCATCCAAAAATCTGAAATACAAAGGTTGGAATCCAACAATATATGCAAACATGGATGAGTGACTCAAAAAGACATATATATTTGGCTCCATACATTGAAGGGTTAGTATTTTAATTTGTATTTTAATTTATATTTTTGTAACTAATTTTTATGTCATACAATGTATGTCCCATTGCAGTTAATTGTAATCATACCCCTGGATTACACTATGGTGTGGTTTTGTTCATTACATTGGAAACCGAGTCAAGAAATGAAAAGCTTATTACAAGGGTAACTTTATCTTTTATTCATTAATTATGTTTTTAAATTGTAAATACATATTGAATAATATATGACTTTTTTCACTTAGAATCGTGTCTGGAACTAATGTTCTAAGTGGAAAACCTAGAACAAAGACTTTGCAGTTCATTTATCCTAAGGTTAGAAACTTATTTATATAAGTGAATACCATAATTATTATTTGTATTTAAATTTTGAAAATAACATTATGTTTTTTTCATCATTTCAGATGTAATAAGCAAACAGACTCGTTTTGAATGTGGTTACTATGTTATGTATTGGATGAGAGCCATAGTTTGTGCGCGTATACTTGATTCTTGGACTGAGGTAATTGCTTTTAACATTAGTTAAGTTTATTTAACTTTATTCATGTTGCATGTTTACAAGAGTCAAATTAATGTTTCAGGTATTTCAAGATCCATCTCCATTACCAAAATATGATATTACACAAATTAGAGAACAATGGGCAAAATTTTTTGTTCAACAATTCTAGTACATAATTTTTTAAGTTCTTGTTCATAATACCTGACTCGTGTATTATGTAGTTTAGGTAGCTTAGTTTGTATTAACTTTTAGTTTATAATAGATTTTTTAGTTTATATGTTTGTATTATATTATTTTATTATATAGTTTGAATTATATAATATTATATTTTTAATTTACTAGCTAAAGAAAATTGAACCTCTGGACTGTCTGGTTGTAATATATATTTGCAGGTTTTAGTTGTAAAACAGAATCAACCCAATTTAAAAAAAAAAATAGCAAATTTACGTCGCGTATTGGTATATGCGACGTAAATTTACGTCGCATATTGGTATATGTGATGTAAATTTACGTCGCATATACCAATATGCGACGTAAATTTGCTGTTTTTTTTTATTTCTGAAAGTTTTTACGTCTATTTAGTGGTATATGCAACGCAAAATTACGTCGGGTCTTGATAACTGACATAAATTTACGTCGGGCTAAAGGGTCCGACGTAAATTTACGTCTCCCGTTTTAACGTCAGTCTTAAATACGACATAAAAAGCCCTAAATACCTGACGTAAAAGCCCATTTTTGCAGCATTTACGAACATTTCGGGAACCTTTGGTGGTCTTTTTGTTCCAAACATCGCATCTGATATTGCCAGTTCCTTTTTAATTAATTAAGTAAAAAGAGCTAGCTCATTAGCTATCTATGAGCAGGGCTTGTTGAAAGCATCTACTCGAGTGTTTCGATAAACTTACTAGTCATATCAACATTCCAAATTCCTATCTTTCTAGCTAGCAGCCTATTACGTAAATAGCTTTGTCAACTAAGACATATACATTGTAAAAGAAATCCTTTGTCCAGGTTCAGTAAAGAGAAATCACAGGGTAAACCGTGGGGAGATTCGTGAAGCTAACGATCGATATACGCTCAAACAATTCCCAAGCACAACAACAGCAATAGTTGCAGCTTGAAAAGCGAAGGTTGTTCTTGGGACCTTCACATTCACAAGAGATCAATGGATAAGGTAGTTGTTATGGAGTCATGAAAGAGCCGATTGTCTGATGTGCTCGTCAGGTAGGAAGGAGATGACCATCGTGCTGATTCAGGGAAAAGACTGAAAATAAGCTCTCTCGAATGAAGACCATTCTCCCTTCTTTATTTTATAGGGAGGAGATCTTCTGCCCGCGGCTATGTAGAGAAAGAGAAAAGGGGTCTTTGGTTCTCCCCTAAGGCTGGAGAGGCTCTTCCCGCTAAGAAATAGTATCATGTTATATCTACGCCATGATATCAATCAGGTGGTTTAGAACTAAATTCATATGGGTTCATCTTCCGCTTCTGGTAGAGAAGTTGAACAAATGGTCTCTGAGCTTTCGTCCCCGTATCCCATTCTGGGCCTTCAGCCGGCTTTGATCTACCCATATCTTCTTCTTTAATTTTGTTATCTCTCTATGCTAAGCTGGCAAAAGGGCTTTTCGAGGAAATGGGTGTAGAGGAGCTCGTGTATCTTTAGTCATAGGGCTCACCCCTCAAGACCCTTGCTTCTCTGTCAGCTTCTTGTCTCGGAGTCTATTCTAACTACCTCTCTGCGGGACAGACAGCTGGAGGAGCACTTTCCGAGTGCTTGGCCAGGGGTTCTTCATATATCAAGAGAGGGTTCCCAGTAATCAAGCTAGAAGTTCATTCCTCCCTTGCTTTGAAAACTTCTTAGGAAGTATCTACTCATACGGGTTGCTTCAAGCTCACTTGAGCAGTTTCCTTCCTTTAGCCTCCTTGCCAGGCCAGTTTCCCTACGGAGACTCAAAGTAGGTCAGGGAAGGATAGTTCTTTTCTCTGAAGAATGTGATCTAGAATCAGGGCTACTTTCCCTCGAAGCTTGAAAAAGGCTTTGAGGAGGGCTTGCTTCATTTGATCCTTCCCATCCCAAGAGAGATGGTGAAGTGGGCTTCTTTCACGGTCGAATCATAGAAGAGAAGGGCAATCTTATACTCAGCTTCTGCTCTAGTGGTTGAACGATTCTCCCTTTCATTGGCTTCCACCGGCCTAAACTGTCCTAGTCTGAACTCTTTCACCTCGTCAACTCGGACTCGGGCAAGCGGGTTCACTCGTATCCTCTTTTCCCCTTTGGGGTTGGTTACTGCCCCATCCCTTTCATTGCCTTGGGACCGGCCTTCAAAGAAAGATATGAAAATTTGCGTAGATGAGATCATGAGACCAAGCCAATTCACATCCTCTTCTCTTGGTCTTCAAGTGCTGGGAGAAATCCCTATCTTCTCTCGCTCGATTGGGCGCTACTTGCCTATTGACATAAGTCATATCTGAAAAAGTCTTTGTGCTTAACTCGCTTTGTTTGTTGATGTCACATGGGCTGGAAGAGGAATTTCCCGATTCGATGTTGGAGCTGCGAAGCTTCCTTACCTTACCAATGAAGCCTGAGATTAGAGTCAGAATCGGTGAAGCTTCTTTCCGCTCCCCTTGCTTCTTTGCTCGTAATGAAAGTCACTCCCATGATTAATTGATAGAAGAGACCAGAAAGGGGTGATAATAGAGTCTTGGGATCTGGATCTAAGAGTTCTCCTTCCTTGTGGCTAGCTTCCTTCAGCTGCAATAAGTATCTCATCTCTACCTCTTTCTTACTTCAAGTGCCGATCTTCTATCAAAGGAACCTTTCCAGAAGTGCCCTTGGTTTAGTCCAGTCTACATTCTTCGCTTAGTGTCAATCTTTTATGATAGAGTTAGGTTGTTCGTAAGATAGCCAAGGGTCACTTTCCTATCAATCAAGTAAAGGAGATCAAATTTCACTCTAATAAATCGATATGAATCAGCTTAGCCAAAGAAAGGTTGCCCCTTAAAAGAAAAGAAAAGAAAAAAGGGGTAGCACTCTTCCTGCCTTTCAAGTCTTTCTCTTTCAAGTAAGCTAGTTACTGCTCTTCAAGCAAGTCAGCGGTTTTTAGCTTAAGCAGGGAGCTTCGCCCTATAGTAAGTACTATGGTGCTCTTCTTTCTTTGTGAGAATTTTTCCCCCCTAATGTCTCTACTAAAGAGAACTGGAAATAAGTCTTTAAAAGAACTGAAGCTCTTCCTTTTCTGGGGTTGGGGTTATCCCCCTTTCCATACTGTCTTTCTTTGACCTATCTCCCTTACTTTACTCGCACTGCTTCTTTCCTCTCCAATATCTTATTTTCTTAGTCTCGTTCTCATCTCTATCTCTTAGGTCAAGCATCTTCGGGAATACCCGTCCCCGTCTTAGTCAAATACCTGTTCATTCCTTCCGCAAGTTCATATCTTATAAGAATCATCCTTTGTCTTTCTCTCGGGCGAGCTTCTGCTTTCTATTCTTACTCTCTCTCTCAGCAGCAAGACCATAGATAGAATAGGAGAACCACTAGATCCGTTGCAATCCCAGTTGCCAGTTGACTCAACAAAGAATCGACTTTGTTTGCTTTGGTGCTTTCTTTTATGCCCTTCCTCGAGATATTACCACCAAACCGGATATCGTGATCTTGGATCTAGGTACTTGACTTCCCCCTCTTCCTATGTATGGGGCGAGTAGCCTAGCCCATCTCCTCAGACCAGACTGAGCTGAATTGCCAATCCTTTGAGCTGCTTCGCTCCTTGGGATGCCTTACCTTAAGGAATCTCGAAAATCGAAGATTAGTATGAAACTAGAGTCATCATCCTTTGATTTGTTCAGAGGAGGTGTTCATCTCAAGTGGGATTCTTGAGAGGTGTGTTTTCGTCCTTTGATTTGTTCAGAGGAGGTGTTCATCTCTAGTGAGATTTTAGAGAGGTGTTTATCTTTTTAATTAATTTACTATTTACTGGTTCTTTTGCAAAGTTGATTGTAATTTGTAAACTGAATTTTAAAGATAGTGAATTGAATTATCTCTCTCGTATTAGAGGTGATAAGGAACTGGTTGTAGGGTTGGCTTGGCCCGAACTAGTATAAATTACTGTATCTTTCCTTATATCTCTTTGATTGTTTTATCGTTTTCGCTTTATCTATATTTAATCTGATAATTAAAATTGAATTAACAAATTATTGGACATCTAAAATAATTTTTTAATTTGTGCATCTATTCACTCCCTCTAGATGTCATTTGTATAACACTCTATTTCATTTTCCCTGATTTTGCTCTATTTCCACTTCACGTAGGATTCATAAAATGCTCAAAGACAGGTTGAAGGCAGAGAAAGATAGACGAGACAAGGAAGCAAAGGAGAAAAGAAAGATTGGAATAGAATAGAGGTAACGGTGGAACGAATGGTAGACCCAATTCTGTATACTTAGTCGGAAGCTCTAGAATATGCATTGATGCATCTCCATTTTCGCTTCTCTTAACTAGGGGTATCAAAGTGAGCCAACCTGGCTCACACGGGTTGGCTCACCACGGGTTGAGCTGAAAATATGTAAGCTGAACCTGGCTCACTTTTTGGTGAGCCAGAAATTTTACAACCCGGCTCAACCCACCACGAGCTGGTGGGTTAGGTGGGTTGACTCACTAACCCATATTTTTTTAATTTTTTTAATTATATAGAAACTTCGGATGTAGAAACTTATGTTTTCTTCCTTTCTTTCTCAACATTAGTATCTTCGTTATTAACTGAAATTGACACTTTGATATAATTTACATTGACACTTTGATATATTGTTTCAGATTCCATACTGTAAATTAATTTAAAAGAAAGAAGTCAAAAATTCATATATTAAAGAGATATACGTATAAATCAATAACAAACAACAAATAATGTATAGATGCTACAATTTTCAAATAAAGATTCATCAATCCAATAATTTAGGTTATGAAACAAATTCTTACCTTTGAAAGCAATACAGTGGACATGGTGTAGTGGTGCGGTGGACAGATAATAAGACAAGTGAACCAAGTGCAGCGACAAACGTAATGGTGCAGCGAACAATTGATAACAAGTTTAAGTGAGGGTTTGGCTTGTGGCGACAACCAACAATATAGGGTAGAGGTAAGACAGGATAACATCAATTAGGGTTACTAAGTATTATAATTATTTTTAAAATTTAAAATAAATAATTAATTAAGGTTAGTATATTATTATAATTATTTTTAAAATTTTAAATTAATGGTGGGTTGCGGGCCAACCCATCATAACCCGGCTTAAACCCGTTTAACCGGTGGGTTAAATGAGCCGGGTTCAATTTTAGCCGATAATCAGTAAAAATAAAAAAAATTGAACCCAACCCGGCTCGAACCCGTGGTGAGCCGGATTGGCTCACGGGTTAGAACCCATATTGACACCCCCTGCTCTTAACTCTAGAATTTGCTGGATATCTTGCTCCAAATTTGTTCCGATTACCACAACAGTTAGCTTAGATTGAATAGAGGTAATGTTTTTCTTCCGATTGATTTGGGGTTTAGGGTTTAAGGATTACTTGTTTACTAATTTTATTAATTAGTGTGAATCAATTTGTTTTATATATGTATTTCAATTTAGACTACCACATGTCACAGAGAATTAGTTCAGGTTATTCTCTCTTGATAGTTTTTGTGGTTTCCCAACCAAAACTTGTATCCATTCGGATAATCCTTGTAGTGGTAGAAGCAATGATTTTCTATTGACTTCTATCTACTTGGATAATCACTTGTACTATGTTTTCTCCATCTTTATCTGATGCTTTTTTTTTAGTTCTTGCATGCTATAATAATGTAATTTTTTTGGATGGTAGAAAGGTGAATTCTTCTACTATATTTTTTTATAAGGATAGAGTTCAGTCATATATTCACTAAAAGGTAATGTTTCTCTTTGAAAATTATTTGTTTGTTTTTATTATTTGTTTTTATAGATGTGGTTCATTAGGATAAAATATGAATTTATTATATATAAAGCATAGGAGATATTAATGTATTTTCTATACCTTAGTTTATGTACATAAATGATATATAAAATATTTTTGCAACTTAATTATTTCTTACTTCGCTGGACAAAATATAAAAATGAATAAATCATGGATTGATATGTCACAAAATACAATTGAATATTTGGATGGACTGAATAGATTTTTAGATTTTGCATTTGAGAATCGATCTGTTAATATTGCAATAATTTGTTCATATCCTAAATGTCACTATGACAGATGGGAAACTAGAGAAGGTGTGTTTGACTACTTGATTTACAAGCAATTTCCAACAAATTATAAAGTCTGAATTTGGCATGGGGAGACATATGAAATTTGTGGATATACAATTTATTAATGAATAATATGATAAATTTTGTTGGACTTTTCGGATGAAATTTGATTATATCTTAGTTAATATTGAATTATATTTAGTTAAGCACTTTGTCAAAGTGAATTATATCTAAAAACTACAAATTTAATATTTTTTAATGAGAATCAAACTAATATTTTATGTCATTAAAACAAATAAAAATTATATTATACATATCATTAGATTTTTTTTTTAATATATAAATAGTTTAGTTCATTGATATATCATATATTTAGATTATTGATTTTATTATAATGATAAAATTATTATTATAGTTATCATGATATTTTAACGTAATTCTAAATAAAAAAAGTATTTTAATTATTAATTAAAAATTATTAAAAAAATAATTTGTAAATAATAATTAAAATTTTTATTCATTCATAAAATAATTAAAAAATAGTAATTAAATAATTTTTGTCGATTTCTTAAGTCTCCAATAAGTTTTAAATAATTATAAAATATTACATATTTTGTAGCGGTTTTTAATTGATAAAATATAAAAATAATCATAAAATAACATTTGTAACAATTTCAAACTGTAACAAAATTTTAAATTAAAATGAAAAATAATAATGTATTTTGTGACGATTTTTAACGGTTGAATTTTTTTTTTTACGTAAATACCAACATTTAAAAAAAAATTGTCACATATTATTTTTGACTGACAATTGTATTAATTACTACAAAATTTGTTTGTAACGTTTTTTAATTCCTAAAATCTATAATTTTTACCGTATATATATTTTTTTAGTGACTAAATTTTGCATACTTATTATTATTATTATTATTATTATAATATTTGTTATTAGTTATAACTATTATTTTATATTATAATTATCATTATAAATATGTTTATTGATTATTATTATTATTATTATTATTATTATAAGTAATTGATAATAAAAATTATAATAAATAATAAATATAATTTTTTATATGTATTAGTATAATTAATTATATTTTATTATTGATGTTAATTATTATTATTTTATTGATTTATAATAATTTTAATAATAATATAAAAAATATATAAAAAAGTAAAACTTCACTAAAAAACATTAAAAAGGTAAAAAAAAATGAAATAATGTTCTCTAACACGATTTCAAAGTTAAAAAAAAAAATTATCTAAATCAGTAATTTTTTTTTTAAATTATACCTGGTGCTTTTCTTGATAGCTTATCATGGTTCATTGGGGGAGTCCAAACTTTTGTAATTTTAACAAATCATTAAAATCATTCTTATTTAGATTAATTTTCTATAATTAAAATTATATATATACAATATATTCTTATTTTAAGAGTAAGAATTAAAAACCTATTATTGATTCTTGTAATTTATTTTTTAATAGTTTAATAGTCTAAAATAATATTAATAACTCATCTTAATTATTTGATTATCGAAAACTGATATCTCTTAAAATAAATATACTCTCTTATTTATTTATTTTGTTATATATATATATATATATATATATAACAAAATAAAATGATATTTTTGTAACAATAAAAGAAATACTTATTCAAAGTAAGATAGATGCTTCAATAACATTTTTAGTTGTATATTATATAGATATGTAATATTGTAGGGAGGGTTATGAATATTCTCAACTTCTTAAACCTGAATTTTCCCGTAGAATGTCTTGAAAAAGAAAAAAGAATTTTTTTTTAGATAATTCATACTTTATATATGTTGCAATTAATTGATGTAAGTATCAAGTAAGATGGTTGAAATAATTCCGTCATAAGCCATGTCAAAATCACTATTTAATGCTATAACCTTCATTCATTTCTAATGAATGTGAATGAGGACAAGTATAGCAGCTGATTGAATAGGTTGAGAGAACCATTAATATTATATAAATTCCAATCTTTTATACATAATTGACACCTGAACAAGGGTCTATTTTATTGGATAGAAAGACATGACATACAAACACATAATTAAATAAGAAAGATAAATGTTTATTTATTTTTATTAAGGTTTTTCCTTATTTATTTTTTGTTAGCAGTTTTTGAATTAGTTATGCTGAATTGGAACTAATGGTAGTGGCCCACCGAATACATCTGTTAACTGACTTTCATCTATGTCTTCAACAAGTGTTGATTTCACCTTCTTTTTTTCCACAAATACTATCTGCAAGCAAATCCAACTTGAACATCTCAAGCACAGACTAATACAACTTGTTTTTAGTTAAATTCAAACTACATATATATATATATATAACCTTCTTCTTGGTTCTGTTGTCAATGAAGGGGTAAATAATTTGCCACACTTTCATAAAAATGTATGGTGCATTGACAATAAACAACTTCCCCAATCTTTCAGGGTAGTAATCCTGCATCCAAAAATTTTACAACCATTACAACATATGAAGTTTAGTTCTAACTTCACAAACACACATGTAAATAGTGTTACAAAGAAGAGTGTTTTTGACCTTATTCCTAACTAATAAATTTGTCTTCTACCATGTCAAAATACTGAAACAAACATATACCTGCAAAATTGTAAGAGCACCAAGGTAACCACGAATGTCACTGTTTGAGTATCCCCATCCCTTAAGTTCAGCTATAGCAACAAACTTTTCTTGCCCAGGTGGCATCCTGATACGACCCAGTGGAATGTTAATTACAAAACTGATAAATAAATTCATAGTTGCAGAAGAAAGATGAAGAGAAAAATGGGATTACCTTGCACATATTTTATCAAAGACATAGACCACAAACCCTGTATTACAAAAAAAGTTGTGTGTTTGTCAGTGAGAAACAAAGTTGTGCATGAGGAAAACACAACATCGTGTCATTAAACATACGTTTGAATTCATCTAGACCATCTTTCATCTGAAAATGTTTTCTACCGATGACAACAGCTATCGGTCGACCTATCTTGTCACGTCCTTGCATGAACACCTTTTCTTGAGCAAGTTCATTAGGAACATCTGATGCCGATACACCAATTGGAACAAATGAATGTTTCCATTTCAAGTAATTCAGGAACATCGTAGAAGCTTTCTCCAAATCTAAATCACGAGCACGTAGGAATCTTCTTAACGTAAAATCATCTTCTTCCTGCAACCAAGGAATCAAAAATCAATTGCTCTTATAAACGTAAGTACATGCCACAGTTATTTACCATATGCCTTGGTAAATAAATATACATGTCATTAACCCAATTTCAGGTGGCTACCATCAAATTGTATTGTTACAGAGTGGGAATTAATTGCAGAGACAGTGTAATGAGTGATTTAGTGAAAAATTACAAGTTCAGCATTGATGCATTATCAGTTTATATATATATATATATATATATATATATATATATATATATATATATATATATATATATATATATATATATATATATATATATATATATATATATATATATATATTCATCCTCGCCATGGAACCACATAGGAACATAACAAAAATACAATTAGTTTAAAATGATGAAAAATTTACACTTGTTTCGTAAAAAATATTTGGACTCCCTAGTATCACTATTTTCATTTTATTCTTGTTTTAAAATTTGTATATCGTTATTATTTTACTATTTCCTGTACAACTATTTTAAAAATTATAAAAAAGAAGGTAAGAATAAGGTGAGTTTTGTTATTAGAAGAGAAAAATAAAACAAAATCAAATAAAAACATACTTCTTAAACCAAATACTCCGTTATATTTTATGAATATAATTTACTAATTATCTATTTTCATTAATTTATTTTATGTGCATGTAATAAAACATTTCTCTTGTCATCCACTTTATTGCATACCATTCAAATTGACTTACATAGAAATTTTCCTCATTTATCTATATTTAAAATCTTTCTTCAGTTTTCTATTTTCTCTTTTTTTTTTCTTAATTTAGTTCTTTGTCTCTTTTTCTAATTTGCTGTTTTTGGTTAGTTGCATTGTAATTGTCAACATTTTTTATTGGTACCATTAACTTATAAAACATAATAAAATTTCTACTATAAATAGACAAGATTAAAAAAAAGTAAATAATTAAACTAAAAAGATTTTGAATAAACATAAAATGTACAACATAGCCTTGACATTGTCTTACACATATGATCAATCTTCTTCATTATTTCTTACCTTGCCTTTGCAGATGTTCTAACTAGTTCCAGTGACTTAGGATGTTATGTTCTGCCAAAAATGTTGGTGGTGGGTTGGGTTTAGGGTTAATGATGTGTAATTGGCATATTCTATACTGTTACTTTTATACGTTGTTTAGGTATATTTCTATAAGTTTATCAAATCATACATTACGTAACATATTTTATCACTACGTATCATTGTATCATAATTCATCACAATCGTAATTGCCATTGTAGGTTTTATGGTTTCCATTTATTATATTTAAATTTCTTTTAATGATCACATAAAAAAAGTAAGATGAGTAAAATATATATGATGTAGTAGGATTTTAAAATTCACTTATATGAGACTTAAATCTTAAATTGAAATAATGGGATTCTTGCGTAAAGTAAATAATGTTTATTTTCTATCTTTTTAAAAAAAAATCAATACACACATATTTAAAAATAAAATAAAACTATTGTTTTAATATATGTATGTAATTAACATTTTATTAATAACTTGCACAAATTAAATAACTTAAGATCAATAAATTTGACCAAGACACTCAAAATTTAACAAATAATAACTTAATAAGAGAACCAACAAACCACAAATGATAAAAGGATATATCAGTGTCAGTGGATTGGTGCATTACTCATATAACAGTGTCCTCATTTCATCTCAAAATTTAACATGAGTTATTTATCATTAATTATTTTAAGAAATAAAATAGTATATTTACTTTTTTGGTGACTATTTAAATTTCTATTTTAAAAAAATAAAAATACCTAATAATTAAATGTCTAACAGTTATAATCTAGACAAAAAAAAATATTTAGTGAATATTTATTTAAACGACTATTATTCTAAACGTAAAATAACTAATCAAAGTTGAATTTACAGTTTTGGATGCTTAACATGAGATGATAAATAAATTTTTATAATTATGATAAATAAATGAGATATGTTTTTAGAGATTTCAATACACACAAGTCAATGCAAAAGTCATCTATCAGTATCTGTGTCTATTCCTGATTATTTATTTTCGTTTCCTTTTTTGTTTATTTCATCCCTTCCAAACAAGTTATATTCGTCATAAATGATGAAAATGAAAGATGACAAAAGATGTCATTGTTAAATAATTGATAAGGATTATGAAAAAAAAAAATTAAATTTGAGGATTTATTTAATAAACTACATTTTCATGGATAAACACTTTGATTAATCCCAATCTTGTTATGTGCATCATGAAATTATACACTAACATCGTTTCTTGTTATTGTTACAAACAACTTTAAACCTAACCATAAAAAAGCTTTAAAATAATATTATCCTACATTCCATGCAAGAAAAACTTCTAAACTTACAACTATAACTAAAGAATTAATTTAATTTAATAGAGACACTTTAAGATATCTTATCATATATACTTTTAAAACTCAAGAGATAATGGGAGAAGTGTATTTCAAAAACATAAATAAACGTAGAAGTTAAGGTAGAAAGGAATAGGATAATCGACCTTAGAAGAAGGATCACGTGATTCAACAATGGTCCTAAGGAGACGAATTTTGGTGAGTTCAGTCTTAGTGCTACCTTTGACTAGGTCATCATCTTCTACACCCACTTGCCCTGTAACTTCTTCTCTGGTCCTCATGTTCATGGCTTCCATTGCTTGCATCAACCCTTCTCTTTGTCTTTGTTCTTTAAGTTTTTCACTCACCGACAAAACTGGTTTGCGATTGGGCTTTAGTAGTAGCTACGAACCAAGACAAGGGTTGTAGGAGAAAGCTGAATTGTGCAAGATATATATAGCATGTTAACCAAAACTAGCATGAACTCAACTTAAATGCTTGTTTTAGTTCTGTGGCAGTTGCAACCCACCCACCATGGTATTGACGTTGAACGACATATAATTTGGTGTGCACATAATTTGGGTGAGAGTGCAGTTTGGAGCATTGAATGCTAGAAGAAGAGAAACTTCATTTTTATTTTGTTCATAAATGAGAGTTAGGTGAGTGAACTCTACAGAACATGTACAATAGGTCTGAAATTTGTGGTCTTTAATTGATTATCAATTTGAGCATGATCCACGACTCAACCTATCTTAATGGTTTGCGTATATAAATGTTATTATAAGTACCGTTTGTAATTACTGTTTCTGCCAAAAATCCTATCCAATTAATTGAATCTGGTCGATATGTCTTCAGCCGTTAATGCCGCAAGTTTCTCTATAATATATCAACATCAATTTTTCATAATAATATTATTATTATTATAAATATTAACTATGTTATTTTTTAAAGTTATTTTTTAGCTAAATTATATAACAAACCATCATAGTTAAATCGTAGCAAATTTATAACAAAAAAATAATTATAAAATTATTTAAAAATTATTTTTATCAAATTTATTATAAATATATTAATTATATATATATATATATAAATTATTTGAAAATAATTATAATTTTTTGAAAAAATATCTAAAAAATTTGATAAATATTTAAGATTGTTTTTTGTAAATTTTTTATAAATTTAAATTCAGCTCACGCACAAGCTTGGAAAATATTCCATAAAACACATACATTTGCTCAAGATCCAAGAAATGTTAGACTCTGCATAGATGGATCCATTCAGTAATTCAGGAAACATATATTCATGTTGACCTATTTTTGTCACACCTTACAATCTTCCTATGAAAAGGGAATTCATACTTCTTACTCTTGTGATTCCTGGACCCAAGTCCCCTAGTAAAAGTTTAGATATTTATTTGGAACCTCTAATTGATGAGTTGAAAATCTTATGGAACATTGGGGTTAACACTTTTGATGCATTGAAAAGGCAAAATTTTATTATGAAAGCAGCTCTAATGTGAACAATAAGTGATTTTCCAGCTTATGGAATGTTGTCTGGATGGAGTACTCATGGGAGATTAGCTTGTCCACATTGTATGGGGGATATTAAATTATTTAGATTAAAGAATGGTAGTAAACCTTGTTGGTTTGATTGTCATCATCGATTTTTGCCTATCAATCATCCATTTCATCATGATCGATGCTCTGTTAAGAAGTTGGTAGTTAAAAACTCTTTACCACCACAAGAATTGAGTGGCATAGATGTATTAAATATAGTAACTCAACTATTATGGTAAAACAAAGTAATTATTTTACGTTACCATTGGTTTGATCCTTTTCATGGTGTTAAAGTTGATGACATATATGGTTTGGTTGATATCGAGCATAAATCAAAGCTTCAATCAAATGAGCCATTTGTATTAGCTCAACAGGCTCAACAAGTGTATTATCCCACAAAATAGGGGTAGAAATAATGATGATTGGTGGGCAGCTTGCAAGGTTAGAGCAAAATTATTTATAATCAAGACATTGAATAATGAAGATGATTTGCCAAATGAGAAAATTGTTACTGATTATTTTCAAGATGATGGATTAATGGGAATGCCTAATATTCTTCCTAATGATGAGGAGATACAATTGTTTGATGCAAATGTCCCAATGGAAGAAATAAACATGGATGATGTTAATTATTCAATGAATAATGTGCACAATGTTGAATTCATAAATGACGATGATGAGTTCATGGATGAAGAGATGGAATTAGATGATTTAGATGATGAGTTAGATAATTCAAGTAATGATTTAGACAGTTCGGATGAGGAGTGGTTCTGAATGAATCATCTTAAGTTTATTTAATGGTAGATATGTTATGTTTAAATTAAATTAATTATTTCCTCCTATTTTTTCATATTTGTATAATAATGACATGTTTCTTTAATTTATTGAATTTCTATGTGTAGAAACTCAAATGCCTCCTCGAGGAAGAGGGCGGGGTCGAGGTTTTATTACTCCATTTCATCCTTCTCAATCTCGCATTAATCCTCCACAACTTGATTCTATTTTTCACTCACCATGTATAGTACAAAACTTGAATGATATTTTATTTATTAACTTTTAAATTATTTGAATATAATGTATTATTCATTGTTCTTGACTTAGTTGCTACTTCCATCCATGAACCATCAATTAAGGTTGGCCAATCAACTAGTGGTGGTCAATCAACAACCACCATCCCACCAATTGATGTTGATCAATCAAATGTTTCTCCAACGTATGATAACCCACAAACTACAGAGGAGCCTTTAAGTGAAAATTCTCATAATGAAGTTGATAGCGAGACTTGTTATATCTCGTGCAACGAGTTAGTAACCCGTAAGTGAAACTAAACTTAATTATTAGTTATTCATCTTTATATTACTAAATCATAATAATTTATACATTGAGAATTTTGAATTGTAGGAGGATGTTTGTTCCTGATTCAGTAACTTGAGATATTATATCTGAGTTACTCATGAGAATGCCAAATCCAACATCAAATTGGAAAATTTATTCTGTTGATATGAAAGAAAATGTATTCAATGATTTCATGGTTAGTAATTATTGTGTTAAAATACTTAAACTTTTGTATTAAACAATACATTTATCTAATGTTTATTTGTGTAGAACAAGTATCGTTTTGCATCAACTTATGATCAAAGTATGGCAAGAAAGATTTAGAGTCAGACATGCATGGATCGATATTCTGAATCTTTAGCTAAGGCAAGGAAAAAGGCAAAAGAGAAGGCAAATTCAGATAATATTCAAGACTTAAAGGGTTTTGGACCAAGAAGTATAAAGACTGAAATGTGGGCTGGATTAGTAGACATATGGGCAACAGAAGAATGTAAAAAGAAGTCCATTGCAAGTAAGGCCAATAGGGCTGTCAAGCCTGATGCCATGATGCACACAGAAGGATCAAGAAGCTTTGGACAAGACTTGAAAAAAATGGTATTCATATTTTACACATTTATACATTTGATCATATAATTGTTAATCAATATTGATTACTAGTTATAAATTTAATATTAGGTTTGATGTTGGTATGAGATAGTTTTTATGTTGTGTTTTCTTAAATGGTATATTATTGTCTGAATCTTGAATTGTAAATTATTTCACTTGAAGAAGAGCATAAAGCGTCCTATTTCTTATGGTGAATTATACAAGCAAAGTTCATAAAAAGAAAGATGGTGAATAAGTGTCTAACAAAGTAAAAAATTTCATTGTAAGTGTGAATATTTTATAAATATTAAATTTTTTTTGTTTATAATATTGCTAAAATATTGATTTGATGTAGGAATCATATGAAAATGTTATGACTGAAAAATATGGGGAAGATACATCAAATCATCCTATAGTTGATTGGATAAAGACTGTTGGTGAAAATAAAAAAGGTAGAATTTATGGTATAGGTTAGAGTTTGGATCTTGGTATTTCACATGTTTCATCTTCATCGGTTGAAAGTCCCTCTTCCCAAAATCTTACCACATCTCTCACTGAAGAAATCATTACCTTAGCTACACAGATATCTAGTTTGCAACAGCAGATGAAAACACGGTTGCAGGCACAAACTGATATGCAAGCATTGATGCAAGCACAAATGAAGACACAAGCAGAAATGCAAATACTCATGTAACAACAAATGCAAAAAGAAATATAGTCTTTCAAGAAAAATTTATTATCTGCCTTAAAGAAACAATGATGAAAATGTATTTTAAACTTTGTTTCTCTTTTTAATTGTGTTATGAACTTTTTAGTTGAAATATTATTTTTGTTATGTTTTAATTGTTTGAAACATCATTTTAACTATATTTAAACAATACTTTTATATGAAAAGTTGATAAATTTGTCTTCTTTTTTCAAGAATGAGTAATAATTTAAATGTTAAACATTTGATATTATAATGTTATAATGATACATTAGTAGAAATATTTATTACGCCAATCAAATTATTAGAGAATAGCTACGAATTAGCGAGAGATTAGATACGGATTAGTAAGAGATTAGCTACGGATTAGTGGGAAGAGAATTTTGATAATAATTGTGAGGGATTAGCTATGAAATTGCAAGAGAAACATTGCAAAAGATTAGCTACAGATTAGCGAGGAAATAATTGCGAGGAATTAACTATACATATCAGTTAGAGATAAATTGTCAGTGATTAGCTACAGATTAGCGATAAAAATATTGCGAAGGATTAGCCACGGATTAGCGAGAGAAATATTGTGACAGATTATATACGGATTAGCGACAAATTAATGATAGAAAATTGTGAGAGATTAGCTACAAATTAGCGAGAGTGAAATTGCTAGGGATTAGCGAGAGAAAAATTGAGAGGGATTAGCTATGGATTAGCTACAAATTAGCGAGAGTGAAATTGCGAGGGATTAGCGAGAGAAAAATTGCGAAAAATTAGCTACGGATTAGCTACAACTTTTTGGGAGATCAATTAGCTAGAGAGAAATAAAATTTCATCACTTAAATTAGCGAAAGACTTAGCGACAGATTGACGACAAAATTTACTACAAATTTCAGAGAGAATACATCTCTATCTAATTAGCTACTTAGATTTAGCGACGAACTATTTCATAGCTATTGCGTAGCTAATCTGTAGCAAAACTAGCGAGAGATTAACTATAAAATAGTTACTGAATGCGTCATAACTAATATATAAAATTCTTGTTGTAGATTTCAACCCTTCTTACTGGTAAAAATTTGGAAATAATATAATTTATATTTAGATTTGCTAAGTTATTTTTAAATATATCTTAAACTTCAAA